TTTTGCGGAAAACGGAAAAAACGGATTTTGACAAATTTATTATATGCGTTCCTAATTGATTTCATTACAAATTCCATTTTCTAAACAAAAAAAAAATGTTAATTATGTATTACGACGTATTTATGATAAAAAATTGATGAGAAAAAATATATATATATATATCAGCGAACAAAGTTCGTACGAGATAGACCGTGTTACAGAAAAAAAAATAATAATTTTTTTTTTTTTTTTTTTTGCGACGTTCTTTGTTTCGATTGAATTCAAAAGAAAAGATAAACGAAAATATCGAACAAGTTTTGGTTGCTTGAAATATTTAGGACATGCGCAAACGTGAATTTTAAATATTATTTTCATCGTTTTAAAGTTCACGTTTCAAGTATATTAGATAACCTATACTGGTTTTTTTTTTCAAATACGTTTGTTTGTTTGTTAGTTAATAATAAGATTGAGTCCAAGTTGTTTGTTTAAAACGCAATTTATTTCACAGTGTGATTTCAAGTTTTTTTGTGTTTTTCGTTCCTGTTAATAAATTTATTTCGGTCATTATAAACTCTCTCTCTCTCATTTAAAATTATATATAATTATTCACGTGTTTAATAAGTAAATAAAATAATTACATACATACGCGATGTCTGAAGCTCATCTCGACGAATACGATCATTTTAATTTCGATCAAGACAAACACATTTTTTCTGGGCATAGCGGAAAACAAAGATCTAAAAAAGAAGCTAGCGAACATACGAATCATTTCGATCCGAGTGGACATTCTAGAAAAATAACAACTAAACTTCAAAATTCCGAACAGAATAAAAAAATGAGAACAAAGGAAAAAATTGAATTATAATTAATTAAAACTCACATACCCTCTTTTTGTATGCATATACGAACATGTGGATGACAATGTATAGGAAAACGGATTAAAAATAAAAATAAAATATAAAAAAAAATGAAATAAAAATTATATATATACATATATATATAACACAAAAAAAAAAAAAAAAAATGGTATACTGAATTTATATTATTGATGTCGAAGAATAAACAAAGTAATTGAAATTCGATATTCAAGGTTTTTCTTTTTCTTTTTCTTATTTTCTATGGATTGAAGTAAAAAATGGTTTTTTTTTTTTTTTTTTTTTTTTTAATATTTGAGTAAATGCGTTTCGTAAAATCGTTTCGCAATTAATTTCTATAAATACTTCATCAGTTCTTTTTTTCTTTCAATTTAATTTTTTGTAAACTGTATAAAATTAATAAATAATAAAATTAAACGATTAGGTTTAATTATAAAATATATATGCATACTTTGTATTTATTTATATATATATATATATCCTTTCCTTTTTATTATGGATTAATTAATTATTATTGTTATAATAATTCAACAACGACAAAAAATTTTATTATTATAATCAATTAACATTGTATAAATTATGGATAACCTAATTTTTTTTTGAATCAAATAATTATTTGTCGATAAAATTATAATGAAAATATTTTTTGTCTGGCATAATTTCTGGCATGACTTGTAACATTTATAAAAAAAAGTTAATTTTAATTTGAAGATATTTATTGTGAAATATGACATTATTTATTTTATGTTTGAAATTATAAAAAACTCGATGAAAATTTAAAAATTTTGTTTTTCAAGTGTGAAAAATAAATGAATTTTTAGAATACAAAAAAATTTTATCGAGTTGATTATGCAATTTTGTTTATTTTATATAAATTCAATTGTAATTTTGTTATTGTCATCAATTAATTGAATTGAATTTGACCTTTGATATTAATAATTTATTTATAAAATCAATTATAAATTTTTCTTTTTTTTTTTTTTGCTAAATAATCAATGTTATCGAATTTAAAAGTGTAGTAATTGTTACTTTTCTTTTTCTTTTTGAATTTTATTTTATTTTGTGTAAAAAAAAAAGTATTTTTCAGGTTCTTGATGTTATTTACAAAATCCATTAATAAAATTTAACAGGTTTAATAATTTTAGCCTGTAAATTAATAAGTTTTCGAAAAAAAAATTTTAACAAAAGAATTGTTTTTTATTAGAAAAAAAATTTCATGAGCAATCTCGTTTAACAAAAACTTAATGGCTGATGTAATTGGAAAGAAAAAAGAAAAAAAAAAAACAATATAACTTTTATTACTTTTTTTTTGCAATAAGAGAGATAAGTTTATATTAAAAGGCAGTTTTGTTTTTTTTTTTTTTTTTTAATAGGTAATTCAAAGTTTTTTATGTGTGAAATAAGAAAAACTATAAACTCTACATGTAAAGGAAATACATGAACCAATTCATGTTTAATTTTGAACAAATTTTCTTATTAATTTTTTAAAAAATAAAATGTAAAATTAACATCTACATAAAAAGAGAAGATTTAAAAATCAGTTTTAATATTGCAACCTTTACAAATATTTGTTATTATAAGACAACATTAACTAATTTCTCAGAAAATGTTTAAGTAATATACACCCTTGAAATTGTACACAATCATTTTAAAAATGTCATAAAAAACAAATAATATAAAAGAATTATCCAAAAAAAAAAAAGAAGACTTAATTTTTTCAATAAGTTATATTTAGGAAATAACTTTATTATAAACCTTTATTTAATAAAAATTGTTTTATTTTTTTTAGGGATATTTTAATGAAAAATGGTTCTGCAGTGGACGCAGCCATTGCTACATTATTTTGCAATGGTGTTGTAAATTGTCAGAGTATGGGATTGGGAGGTGGTTTTTTAATGACAGTTTACGATAGGAAAACAAAAACTTCGTATGCTTTAAATGCTAGAGAGGCAGCTCCCGGTTTAGCAAGCGAAGAAATGTATCGTTTAGATCCAAATTTGTCTAAAGCTGGTCCTTTAGCAACGGGAGTACCTGGAGAATTGGCGGGTTATTGGGCCGCCCATCAAAGATTTGGACGATTGCCTTGGGAAGAAGTTGTTAAACCCACTCTTAAAATTTGTCAACACGGGTATAACATGACCCAACATCAATACGATTCTCTAAATTTTCGTCCAGAAATTATACGTAAAGATAAACTTTTAAATGATTTATTTGTTAATCCCGATACGGATAAATTTTATCCCAGAGGTTCTACGATTATTCAATCTCAAATATGTAAAACGTTAGAAATA